AAGATGGCGGCGCCCAGCTGATGCCGGTACCGGGCCGCGCCATAAAAAAGGTTGGGGATACCGGGCCGCGGCATAAAAAAGGTTGGGGATCACTGTTTCACATTATATTTTTTTGAATTTTATTATATTCTTACCATATTTTTATTTTTGGGATTTTGCTATTGTTTGTTTTAATCATAAGGCACCCACAAATGTGAGATGCAATCAAGTAAGAAAGTAAGTGGTGTGTATGTGTGTCCCTGAAGCACTTTTACTATTTCCCACCATTTTCACTCTGGGCTTCCAGGTGATCCCTGTTTCTCTCCTCATTGTCCTTCAAACCTCAGGGCATTTTTTCCCATCTTCATAAATGTTAAGGGTTGCAAAGTCCAGTTGCCTTTTGAAAAAGCACCTTTGGGACAACCATAACCTAGATGACTGAGAATCTCCAAAGACATTCCTCTTTTAACTCAAATGGCTGCAAACACACATTCATACCCCAGAGTTTTGTTCAGTACTAGGAAAGACACATTGCATTTGCTTATTGGATTAATGTATAAGTTGTAATTACTTAGTGTAGTATAATTACTATAATTACTTAGTATAATTGTGTTTTTTTTTACATAATAGGAAACCAAGATTCTTCTTTATACTAAGAAAACAGTGGCTTGTTATTGAAAAACCCAAAACAAACAAACTAAATCATACTGTGGCTTAGTGTTAAGTAAAAGCCTGACCGTTGAGGTACTATTAATTAAATAACAGTTATATACAAGCAAAATATAACTACTGCTGGTATGAAACCACAAATAACTACTGTATAATTAATGGTAGCACTTAAACAGTAAGCACTGTTTTAACAGCTCCAAAGATCATGGTCAGTAGCCACCCTATGCCATTTTCGCCATTCCTTACTAGATGAAAATTACACCCAGTAATCACTCAGCTAACCTTTGACTTCATTTTTTCTCCCCTCTCCTCTTAGACCTTTAAAAAAACTCCAATTAACTCTCCTGTTTTCTCTCATTTTGCTTCTTCTCCAAGTGACTCCCTCTTTCAAATTCCCTTTATCAACTCCTTTTTTTGGGGAGGGGGGGCAATTACTCTGTTTAGTTCAGCCTGTCTCCCAGAGTTGCTGTTGGAGTGGAGCAAAACTGGAGAATGGAGCATTTATGTATGCATCCTTGAGTGATACAGAATAAAGCAGGACATGAAAGAGGGAGGGAGGAAGATAAATAGACAGATAGACTCTTCTATATTCCCACCTCCAACTTGAAAAATGTGATCTCCCCCTTTTTTCTTCACTAGGTCCTTTTCTGCTTTGTACAACTTGAATCCTCTTGCATCAGAATTATCTAGGCACGCAGAAGGTCCTTACCCTGAGTGTTGACAATCACCAGTTTATAAGCTGTAGCCCTGGGAACAGGATTCCACAGCAGCCGAATACGACCCAGTCCCACTGGCACCATGCGCAGGTTTGATACACTGTCCACTAATGGTGGTCCTGCCACAGATGAACAGATAGTAGGATTACTGGAAGAATGTAATAGATGGCTTGGGCTTATAGAGAGAACAGTTGAGTAAGTTCTTGAAACAAAGAGGCAAACCTCTGGCTCCTTTTTTTAACATACCCATTCTAATAATTGTAATAACAATGTCTCTTTTTCCCCCTCCCCTATAGTGTTGCTCTACATACATTATCTGAGGACAAAAATATTCTCTTTATTAGAATATCAGAAGGTGAATCATTCCAAAAGCGATTCCCCATGGGGAACAAGACAGCAAAAGAGACAGTGGAGCCTAGAGACAGGATTAACAGACTTACGGATTCCGACGTTGAGAGAAACGGCATCACCCTCACGGCTGCCAATAAGAGCTGAGACACGAACCACGTAGGAGACATTCTCTTTCAAATCAACTAAGTTCTCTGTGGTCTGGGAGCCTGGGATATGTCGGACCCTCTCAGTGCCATCTACAGCAGAAACCACAATAGTTGCAAACATGAACTCATAACTATGGCTTTCTAATCCAAAGCCTGTTTCATAAAAATAAATCTTAGATTTCGTGGTCTTTGGATTCAGGAGAGAGGAGAATAAACTAAGAGTTTCATTTGCCACAAACAAATCACTGCAGCTTTCAACAAAAGATTTGTTTTGCTATACTCTTCTACTTAGGTGTGAATCATCTCAGTGTTGTTCCTACTTCCATTATTTCCCAGGTACCATCTCTAATAGTTATCCTTTCATTTCAATGTATGCTGATTAGTGTACATTTAAAGTGACCTATCCTATCCTACTTTATCCTATCTCTATTCTCTCTACTCCCAATGCTGATAACTTGAACAAGTTTTGAGGATGCTTCTTCCTTAGAACATCATTAAAACTCTTTAGTTTAGTGGTTCCCAAACCTGAGTAAAATACCTAAATAGTTTTTCTTTAGGTAACACATGAATCCATTATCTAATCAAAATAGGAACATTTAAATTGACTTAAAATATTTTACTTACGTTGGATAAAAAGGGTTTTTTGATAAGTGGTTTTGAGTAATAAAGGAAAAAGTTTGAGATGCACTACTTAAATGACTAGAGGTGATGCTTTATCAAGACTCTATAACTTGCAAGAAAGTATCCCTTCAGAATATGCTCTTCAACCCAGAAAAACAGAAAAAAGAAGGATGTTGAAGAGATGCTCCAGACCAGGGGTCGCCAACCTTTTGGACCTCAGGGACCACCAAACTCATAATTTTAAATCCCAGGGACCACTAACGGGTTATGTGGGTGTGGCCTAATTTGTGGGTGCGGCTTGGTGGTCATGTGACTGGCTGGGCATGGCTTGATGTAAATATTATAAACATTTATATAAATACTGAATTTTTTATTTAAAAAAAAGAGCAACTTTTACCCAAAATCAGAAAAAGCAAGCAGGCAGATTGAGTTGCTCACAGAATCACAGATTCATTCAGAGATCTATCTATCTGCCATTGGCTAGCTCAGTCTGTCACATAAAATTTGCTTGCAAGCAAACTCATAAAATTTGCTACCAAGCAAACTCACAAAATTAACTCACAACACACCATGTATGTAAATATTGATTTTTTTTATAAAAAAAGAGCAACTTTTACCCAAAATCAGGCAAAGCAGGCAGGTAGATTGAGTTGCTCACAGAATCATTCAGTGAATTATCTAACTGCCATAGGCTAGCTCAGTCTCTCAAATTTGCTTGCAGGGAGTCTGCACTGAATAATAAAACCTTCAGTCCTAAGGGAGTGCAGCTGTGCTTAAAAGCAGAGCCAAAGATCCAAAGACTAGCTAGAAAGCAAGAAATCCAACCATTTCCTTCTTCCTAGCTAATCTAAATCTCCTGGCACAGCAGAACAGCTGATGGTCAGAAAAAGGAAAAATAGCAATTTAGCAGACAAGTTTGCCGGGTAAGGAGTGAGTGGGCGGGGAGGGTTCCCGCGGGCTATGTGGGATGCATAGCCTTGTGTTTCTGCACAGCCTGGATTAATTGCTTTGGGGGGGTGCTCTGGGGGTGAGATTTCTGTGCGGCCCACCAAAATTTTCTCACAGCCCACCAGTGGGCCGCAGTCCACCAGTTGGCGACCGCTGCTCCAGACTATACTTTGTTTATTGCTTGGAAAGCCTTTGTTCTTCTCCTTTTAGTACACTTCTGCTCTTCCATCTGCTCCTCTCAATGGATACTTCTGGATTTTCAGCAAGCCGCCACTATCAAGCCACTCCTATCAACCAGCTGTTCCTGTGTGCTCACCTTGCATATTGCGTACTACAATCTTATATCCTGTGGCTCCTTGGACTCCTAGCCATGATAGCCGGACTCTGTTTCCTATAGTCTCGATGATCCTCAAGTTGGAGATGGTTCCCACTGAAGGTGCCACCCCTAAAAGAGAAATTTCGACTTTCATTCAGCAAAGATGATGTGAAAACCAAAAGCCTCAGCCAGGAATGTGACTAGCTGAATAAAAGGGAGCATGAATTTCCTCTTTCTCACCTGTCTCTGAGATAGTAACTGGGGTTGCTACTTCTTTTCCATCATACAAAGTGTAGAGGGTGATATGATATTCCGTGCTTGGCTGGAGGCCACTCAGAGTGTAGCTGTTCTCATTGGTGGGAAGAGAGACAGATTTGAGAGAATCTGCTCCTTGAAATCAATACAAGATAGAAATTAGCATTGACCTTTATGGATTTGAAAACAAGCAAGTATTATCCCTATGTCTCACTGTTCTGACATAAATACTTGAACTAAGTCGTTGCCTAACTTTCAATTCTCTTCAACATTAAGGCATAATCATAGTTCATTCCCTCCCCAATGTATCCAAAGGCATTATATTTTAAGAGGGAAAATAGAAACATTCAATGGGTTTTTCAAAAAAATAAATACGATTTATAATTTAGCATCAAAATGAAACATAACAAACTAATGAACTTGAAATATATGTGAATAACACAGAACAAAAATAGTCCAACTTAGTGTCTTTAGTCTCATTTACCACCGAGATCTAGATCACCAAATTCCATCAAATTTTGCAACAATCATTCTCTTTAGCCAATATTCCCATCACTTCTGGCTTTCTTAGATAAGGTATCAAATTATAATAGTACATGATGGAGGATATCAGGTTAGAGAAGCTTATTCTAAACTTAAAAGAAAATGAAAACTATATTCTTTATAGACACTTCTCTGGAATTATATCCTAGAAATATTTGGAACTGACTGGGAAAGGAACAGATTCTCTCCATCCACAATTCCTATAACTTCCCTACCACTCATTGTACAAATTTAGCCAGCCTACCTGTTGCTTTTCTCCACTCCAGACGATACCCCCTAGCATTAGGGATGATATTCCAGGCAACCTTAATTGATGTTGGGTCAACAGCGATAGTCCTAAGATTCTGGGCTATTTCTAAGAGCAACAAAAATAAATAGTAAAGTTCTGAATTATTAGGAAAAGTTTTAATTGCCTCTCATTTATTACAATCTTTGGATCCAAGCCTAATCACCATGGGACAAGTTTATTCAAAGAAGAGAAACAAGTAAAAATCTATATCCAAATTCACTATTACAGGCAGTCCTAGCACTTTTTCTAAAGATGGACTTGAGCTGAGCTACATAAATAATATTCATATACTGACTTGAACATACCTAGACATCTCTTTGTTCCAGCTACAATTACCATATAATATCTGTTGCATTTTCTCTCCTTCCTTTGAATACATAGTAAACAGTATGCCATCTTTAAACTTGAATCAGAATACTTCCCTAAATCAATTTTAATGTTTGATATCTTAATATTTAACATGTCATGCTATAAAACAGCTTATAAATGGAATGCTAACAATTATTCCATAGTACATATTTTACCTGCAGTGATAGTTATTGTAACAGCAGCAGAAGTAGTACTGTATAGTACCATTAGTAATAATAACAAAAACAATCATCACCAAGTGCACCTACCTGTTCTCCTCCTAATGGAGGCCTTGGGACCTTCTACCTGTCCATAGAGTGGTGCAACAGATACTAGATAATCAGTGTTAGGCTGCAGTCCTGTTAACAAATAGGAATTCATGCTAGCATCCACATCAGCTGTTTGACGACCCTGACCTAAGAAATTTCAAAATACAAAACAAAAATGCAAAGAAGCTGTTAGCCATTATCCATACAGAACATGCATCTGTGAACTACATGACCACATGCTGAATTGCAGAAGTCCACCTTTTTTACTTTCCTTTCACATTCAGCAAAAGATCCTTAATTCTTCACTTCTCATCATATCACTGGAATGATATTGCCTGTAGACATTGTCATTGCCACAAGACAATGTCCTTTTGGGTACAGTGGACTTTTAATACTACTCCTAACTTCTTAATCTATTAATTAACTGGAAATGAATTATATTAACTTGGGAGTATTCTAAATAAGGAACATAGGAGTTAATTACTAAATTTCTTGGAAAAAGAAAATAAAATCATAGGGGTTTGGACAGTTTATCGAAATTTATCGAAACACTTAAGAGTCCACCACTTTCAAATTTTGAATTGTGGATAGGTGTCATCACTCCATCCAAGATTCATAATCAGTTCCTTATTGGACTTTCCTAATCCATGTAAATAAGCTTGCACATTAAAAGGTTAAATACATTAATTTCCCATCAAAACCAAGAATTACAGAGCTATAGTGTGGTGGAATGTAGGCTGGATTCCTAGGAGGGAGGGGCTGTATTCCACTGGGCCACGAGACAGCAAAGTTTATATTGTTTGGCTGGGAGAAAGATAACTCCTCCCTAGAAGTTCTCAGTGTACAATGATGCGATGTTGCTTTAATTTGGCAAGATTTCTGTCTATAGGTGAGGAGCAATAAAGGAAATTGCTTAGAAGTAATTTTGTGTCTTTCTTGAATTTTGGAGCCTGACATAGTGATTTCTGGGCAAACCTATAACTTAATTACACAGCAGCCTATTTAAAAATTATTGTAAAAGTATACTTAGACTGGAAAATCATGCATATCAGGACTATCTCCCGTCTAGAAGATATATTAATTCATTACATATGGATAGAGTGTGTAGTGTGTATCTTTTAAATATTATTAAATATTATGAATATAATGCTGAATACATATTTTAAAAAGAAACTATTCATATAATTTGTGCCTTTCTATATCTCTGTGTATTTTTGTGTTTTTGTGTGTAATATATACCTGTTTGTGTAGTATTATAATGCTATTTAGAGCCTGAGTCAAGCTATTTTCAGGCCTTTTTCAGGTCTACATGATTTATGTTTGCCATTAAATGGTCCTGTTTCCATTGGGGTTTTTTTCATTGTAACAATTGGTTTTTTTTTAAAAAAAACCATATAGATGTTTAATTAGAAAACAGTCCCATTTGTTATTCAGAATGGAAATTTTGATATCTTCAACATCATTTCCAGTCTATGGAGTGGGTAGTATAATATTTACATAACATCAAAGAGTACCAGTGAACAGTTATACCTGAGAGGAGTTCCCAGGTAACACGGTATGCAGTAACTCCACTCATACCCCTCCAAATCACCAGCATCCCTTGGGAGGAGATGTCCTGGGCATTCAGTTGTTGCAATCCTGCCAAATTCACTGAAGATAGAGAGAGAAAAGCCAATCGAGATGAGCAGAAGGATGTTTCAACTATCTAATTATCAATAATCCTAGAACCCAAATCTACCTGAGCCATATTTTCTCACAGAATTCATATATTTAAGCAATTATACTTCAAGTTTATGAAAGGCAAAGGCATGATTTCCCTATTTCAGTTATGAAGTTATGGATGCTTTTATGGCTGTACTAGCCAATAATACCCATAACCAGTATCTTTATAGTGGACTATAAAGACTACTAAAAGAGTTCCAGCTAAAGACAAAAAAGTCCCAATCCTGGCACCTCACATTTCTCAAAGCCTACTTCATGTATAAAATAAACACTGGAAAGCCTATAGTTCCTTAGGTGCTTAATCAGGGCCGGATTTAACAACAGGCAAATCGGATTATAGTCCTTGGATGTCAACTGCTTGTTCGGTGAACAGAGTTATGATGGTCCTGAATAAGAGGAACTTATGAAGAGTCTTCAAAGTTGAGGCTGTTGCAGTCGGTCACATGATCATGATTCAGGCACTTGGCTTGCAAAACAGTTACAGTGTCCCACAGTTGTATGTGTGCCATTTGTGGCCTTCCCTGCTGGCTCCCCACAAGCAAAGTCAGTGGGGAAGCAGGCAGGAAGTTGCAAGTCATTCCTACAAGTCTCTCCCACTGCCACTTTTTCGCCTGCCTCTCTACCTGTGCTCTATAGTGTCTGCCTGTGGCACTGCCTGCCTGGACCCTGTAATGGCCATCCACGGTACCCATCTGCCTATGCCCCATCACTTCTGCCCACAGTACTCATTCATCAGCACTCCATTGTGCTTGGCTGAAGCAGCTGCCCACCCACCCACACTCTGTAGTGCCTGCCCATGGTATGCACCCACCCATCCACACTCCGTAGTGCTTGCTGTGGCACCTGCCCGCTCTCTGTAGTATCTGTTCATGGCACCTTTGATCCTCCTGCACTCTGTAACATCTAGCCAGGCTAATCAGAGCTAATTCCAGGAACAAGGCTCTGCTTTCTTAATTTAGGCAACACTTACGTGTTCGGCTATGAACTACAGCAGGCACTATTGTATGATGTGGGAAGATTGGGTACAATGTTATCACATAGTCAGTGTTAGGTCGAAGGTTGCTGAGCAAGAACGAAGTAGAACTGGCATCAAGATTCACTTCTTGAGCTTGAGCTTCACCTTATAGGAGGAAAAACAAAGATAATTTTAGAAATGTACATTAAAAAGTCATGAGAAACATAAAAGATCACCGGATAGTGCAACTACTTTAAGAATGCCAATAAAATTACAGCTCAAATTCTTATTGGGACTTCATTCTTGATTTCTTAACATTGAAAATTAAAGACTGAATTATATCACTAATTCAGGAAAACAAAATTATTGATAAATGAGGGTTGCTTCTTTTTAAAACTGTCTTCCCCAACCTTGTATCTTCCAGAAGTTTTCCAGCTACTCCAGCATTCTGGGAAATGCAAGTTGAGAGTACTTGTAGTGGTTAAAGCAGGGGTGGGCAAACTACGGCCCGCGGGCCACATCCGGCCCGTTGGTCTTTTTAATCCGGCCCGCCGAAGATTGGTCCGTATGTAACCGCGGCCACTTTTCGGCTGCTTTCAGACGCGTCGAGAGGAGGTGGTTGAGGTGGAGGGCGGGCGGCGGAGAGCGAGCAGGGCGCCTGGCGGGCTTGTCAGGCGGAGCAGGAAACGGGGGCAGGAGCCTGGCGGAGCGAAGAGAGCTGAAACCTGTTGAGGTCTCGCAGCAGTCCCTTCGCGGGGAGAGAAGCCGCCGAGCTGGGAGGAGCGCGGGATGCTGCCGGCTCGCCTCCCCGCCCCTCCATCATGACTGCGGTAGAAGGATCCCCGAGCGCTGCCCTTGCGGCCGCCACCGATGGAGCCCCGCTTGATTTCGCCTGAGCCACGTTTGATTTTGAAGGGGGCGTGGGAGGCAGCGCCAAAGGAGCGCTCTGGGGTTTGGCCAACCACCCGCTGAGCAGCTCCGGGCTCCCCACCGCGGCCGGCAGACCTTGGGGCTGCACTCCAGAACCCAGCGCCACGGGATGGCGAAGCCGAGCGGCAGGAAGAGGTGTGTCGAAGCTGCAGCGGCCGGCTCAGATCTCTTGGTCCCGGGGAATCCCCCTCCAACGAGGCTCAGGCACCTCGGTGGAGGGGGATTTCCGGGGACCAAGAGATCTGAGCTGGCCGCTGCAGCTTCGACGCGCCTCTTCCCGCCGCTCGGCTCAGGCAGAGCCCCAAGCACCGCCGGTGGTGAGGAGCACAAGAAGCGCAACGGGGCCACTGGAAGAGCTGCGCCTCAAGGAGCAACTGGCGGCTGGAGCAGCCAGGACTGGCAGTGGCGGCGAGGGCCCGACCTGCACGGGGGGGGGCCTGGGGCGGTTTTCTCCCGCGCCTGGCTTCGGAGCGGCCCGCCGTACGCTCTTGGGCATCTGGCTCACTGCGCCCTGGGCGCGCCTTTCCCTCGCCTCTCAGCCAGCAGCAGCAGCAGCAACAGCTCCACCGCCGCCGCCTCCTTCCTCCCCTAACGCCCGCTGTTGTGATGCGTATTCCCGTAGACCCGAGCACCAGCAGGCGCTTCACACCTCCCACGCACGGCCTTCCCCTGTGGTAAGATGGGAGAGAACAGCGGCACCCTCAGCGCGCCGGTGCCGGGACCTCGCAACCGGACCGAGGCGTGCTCGGTGGTGGACGTCCTGGCTGGGCGGAGCGGGCAGGTCCTGGGAGAGGCACACAGATGTTTTCTGCCGAGTGGGCTTCCCAAGTGCCCAGGAGGACTCGTGGTTTAACGGCAAAAGCGGCGGCGGGATGGGCGCTGGGCGGGCGGGGGGAAAGGCAGGCGAAAGCCCCCACACACACACACCTCGGCAAGCGGTTTGCAGGGTTAGCCAGCAGTTTCTCGCAAGAGACTGAAGGCCGGTCTGCTCCCCCCAATTAGACGTTGGTTCAAGAGGGAGGGTCAGTCCTGCTACTAATTGGTGGTTCACAGTTTATCCGTGGGCACCGGAGAAGTTATGTTTTGGGGGGTGGGCGTTTATTTATTTTTTATCTTATAAGTGGCCAACTTGTGTAAACTGAGGGGGTACATTCATTCATACATACATACACACACACACACACACACAGTCGTTTATTTGTAGCGGAAGAATCTGTCTATCTATCTATCTATCTATCTATCTATCTATAATGGCCTTTTATAAAATTGGTTCGGCCCTCGAACGCAGATCTGATTTTCCATGTGGCCCCTGACAGAAATTAATTGCCCACCCCTGGGTTAAAGCATCAAGCTATAAACCGGGTGACTGGGAGACTGTGAGTTTTAGTCCAGCCTCTGGGTGACTGTGGGTCAGTTACTCTCAGCCCCTGGAAAAGGCAACGGCAATTAACTTCCTCCAAAAAAATCTTGCCAAGAAAGCTATAGAGACCTTGGCCAGGCAGTTACCAGAAGTCAACAGTGACTTGAAGGAAACGCACACAGTTGACCAGAGCCACATGGTCATTTTGAGTCAGAGCCAAAAGTGAGGGAGAATATCCATTCTCTTGCTGGACCTTGTCTTAATCTCTCTAATCCATTTTTCCTCTTTTTCTTACTTTCTTTCCTTCTGATACTCTCTTCTGTCTTCCCCCGATAGCAGATTGAAGAGACGAGACAGATACTTCACAGAAATCTGAACTGATCCTTTCTGGGAGCTTTGAAAAATTAAGCCACGTGCTATATGGAACTAGGCTATAGGCTGTAGGTGGCTCTAGGACTGAAAGTCGCCCACACACTTCTTTGCTACAGGAGTCCAGCTTACACGTATCTCCGGACTGGGCTCAGTTGCTTTCCACTTGATCCCATGTACACCTCAATCCTCTATTTCTGAGTATTTAGTATTGCATGGAACATGTATCTCTAACTGCTGAACAAGGAATGGAGATTATTTTAGCATAGGCCATTTTTAATCTAAAGTACTGTAGATTAGAAGAACTATCTAGAGACCACTGGCAGACAAATGACACCCCTTCCTTTTTTTTTTTGCACAAACTTTCTTTCTGACTGAGTCACAGCAAGCAAAGCAGCAAGCAGAAGCAACAGTTGGTGGTGATCTCATCAACATTCATTTTGGTGCCCACAGGGCCAGAATTCTCTGCTAGGCAGATAAATTCCCTTGGCAGCAGGTGTGGCCAGACATTGGGTGGGTGAGGCACTGGGAGAGTTGCCAGGCTATAAGCACCAGCATGGCTGCAGGCTGGGGTGAGGCAGCTCCAGGTGCAGCTTCTGCCAAGCACATCACAAACAAGTCGTAGGTGAATATTCCAGTAGGGTCCACTTCCCCAAGCCTGGACTTTCTTGCCCAGGAAACCCTGAATTCTGGTAATTTGATAATTACAGTGATGTTTGGGAACAGTTAGGGAACATTGAAAATTAAAGGATAAAATTATCCTCTCCCCAAATCAATCTTTCTGTTCTTTTTAAAAAGCACTCTGACTACTCAGAGCAATCCTCAACAAACAAAAGCTGTTACAGGACTGGGAAGTGCAGTGTGGTTGTCTTCTTCTCAGACAATGTGCTCCATTCTGCTGAAGGACTCGCTTTTCTGCTAGACTGCAAGCTCACCAGAAACACAGCAATTCCTGTTTTCCCCTTATCCCTGTGAATCAGGAGATGGAAAGCTACCAATGAGGTTAAGGGGAAGCTGCAGCACCAGCCATGTACTTCCAGTTCAGCTCCAGGATTTCCTGAAGCAATTGGATTATTTGCTTGTTGAGTAAAGAATCTTTTCTGAAACTTAGCACTTTTAATCCCAAAGATCACCCCCCTGTCAAGTTTTACACTGACCTCTAGCCACATAAGTGAGCCTGTAGCCTTGTAGGGCTTCATTCCGATCAGCTGCCCAGGATAGTCTCAGGAAAAACGGTCCAGTTTCTAACACCCGAAAATTTGTCACTCCAGTCAGCATCTCTGCAAGGAAAACAAAGAATCAATGGGGTGGGTCCTTCACATTCACATGAATTCCAGACACATTGTGTTACGAGAGAAGTTATACTAATAGGAATCTGCAGGGTCATTTTAACTCACAGTGGAATGAGCTAAATGAACAAAATGGCAAAGCCATCTCCAGCCAAACTCCCTTCAGAGCTCCAGGAATACAACACCTGTACCCCAACCAATAGGTTGCTTGGAACAAATGAAAGCTGTAACCAGTGGTGCGATTCAACCGGTGTAACAATCGGTTCGGTGAGCGTGCGCTTTGCACACATGCTCTACATTTAAAACAACCCATTTTCAACTCAGTTTACTTACCTTCTGCTGCATCTTCGGTGAGTGAAACAGCTGATGCACGGCAAACCGCTCTGCCATGCGAATCAGCTGTGCTAAAAAAACACCCCAGGAAATAAAGCACAGGAAAGAGCAGGAGTGAGTGGGCGGGGCCAAATGCTCAACAGAACTACTGGTTCGCCCGAACCAGTCCGAACTGGTAGAATCCCTCCCCTGGCTGTAACCCCAACATTCTGGTGGGATAATGGTTGCAAAAAAAAACCCCGCCATTGTAAGGTTATGCCGGCAACTCATTTAAAAATGATACAGGATAATGAACAGGTTTTATAAAAAGAGTATTACAGAACAACCTTTCTTCCTAACTTCAGACGGTGAAAGTTATAAAAATGGTGCAGACAAGACACGTGTGAGAAAAGAAAATCCTTGAACACAAGGTCCAAAGTTATATAGGGCTCTAAAGATCAATCTCAGGACTTTGACTAATACTAATAATGGACCTGTAGTTAGTGCAGTAGTTTCAAAACACACATTAAGTGTTTCCTGGGGCCAGTCCAATAGCAGCCTAGCTGTAATAATGTGAGGTAGCTATATTGGGGGGAAATATTTTGATGGGGATGGAACACATTGACAAATTAATGCATTTTTTTTTAATACGAAGTCATTTTTGAGCTGAGCACAACTCCTGATGACATACATGGAGGTATACATTCAGGTTTCTTGGCATGATACCTCAATAAAGACATCTTCAAAGGTAATGTAATTCCCTGTAAGAATGTACCAGGCAAGTGCACAGGGTTTGGAAAAATGCAGCCAAATTTTAGGAAAAGAGATGGTGAGTGCATACCTACCCTATCTTGGAGGCTATTTGGGACTCCAATGCCACATTGGAAAAGAGCTTAAACTTCTGTATTACCAGGGTTGTCCAGAAATAAATTCATGACAATATCAGACTTTTTATTCAGTTTTTTATTGGCTTCCCAGAAGATAGCTATGAACTTATTCAATTCACCAGCTTTCTGTCTCTGCAAACAAAAAACTGTGGCTATATCCTAGACTATAGTATTACACAGAAACTACATAACTGTAAATTCTACATATTATACATGACAAGACTATACAGACACACCCAAAGAAGCACAAATGGGAGTTTATACCCAAGAAATCTGAAGGCACCAACTTTTGGAATTATTTGGGAGGAATTTTAAAAGGAAATGTATCAAGAAATGTCAAATAAATTACAGAATCTCAATATTACTCACGTGTCCGTCCTTTGCCAGAAACTGATTCTCCAATGCGGTTGGCATACTGAGCTATAACAGTGACCAGGTAATCTGTCCCACTTTTCAAGCCACGGAGTACAGTGCTTGTCTCACCAGATCCCACACTGACCTGTTTAGTATCCAGAATGGATCTGTTATCACTCATTAACATTAGGACTTTATGTAAAAATAAAAATCTCTTATAGGCAAATAATAAAAAAGAAAAATACTTTATTCATCTTATGTTTACTGCATATTGCTTGCAAATCATTTAACACATGTAATGTTCATCTTATACTACTTACAAATTGTATCACATGTTCATCTCTCATTCCTTGTACTAAAGTGTTGATCGCAATTTATCAGACAGAAGTGTTGCTTAAAACAACTTTAGACAGAATAACAGATGATTGAAGCAGGGCCCAAATTCGTCAAATTACCACTCCCCAAGTTAGTCTCTTCTATTCTAAATACTTTCATATTCACACACACAAACAAACACAAGAAAATGACAGCTCTGTTCTCCAGCCAAAAGGACTTTAAGTAAATAAGAACTGGATGGCGGACAAAGGAATCTGATGGGGTAACTGGCTCAAGAAACAAGTTATATTCTTAAAAAGATGAAGTGATGAGACAACTCCCTTAGAATGCAGGGCGGACACTGGACAGTTCAGCCTTTTTTATAAACAAAAAATCAATATTATTATGTCAACTATAACAATGTGTGTCAACTAAAAGAACACTCTGGAACATGGGCTAGTCTGAAAACAGACAATGTTAGTTAGTATTTAAGTTGTTTTAATTTGGAGGGGGAATGTGATTAAGATATCATGACCTTGATAATGTACCTGTCACCTCTTTTCAGGCCAGAAAGGGCCTTACCCCTGCATTAGTTGTATCCATAATATTTTATCTGGGAAATGTCACCCCCAGAACACCACAAAACATTTCCTATTCCAGAAGTTTCATATATTCATTCTATAAACTGCTATATCAGCCCCAGAATGGATTGACTAATGTGGTCTTGGAAGAAAAATAGAACAATTCAGAATTATCCAAAAATGGATGTTTTGCACATATACATCTGCCACATTAAAACTGATCTAAATTATAGTTGAACATAGCTAAATTTACCTCCAAGGAAGCATGAGGATTGCATCATGAAAAGTACTCACCTCCTGCCTTTCTGACATGATTTGTTGCCCCAGGCCAGTCAAAGGTACATATTGAATTTTATATCCAATTACAGGACCACCAGCTGCTGTCCAACGGATCCTTAGCATGTCTGTTCCTTGTTCCATGAAAGCCAGGTTGGAAGGACCATTGTAGGCACCTTACGGGGAAGGGAATCAGAGCGGACAACATAAATCAGGTTTCTTGTTGACACATACCATTCCAGACAATTATGGACATGGAAAGAAAAGGCTAAGCATTTCAGAAAAATTGAAAGGATCTATCAAATGAAGAGTGGCAGCATTGACATCAGTGGGGCCTGGGGCCTGCAATGGAAATATAGAATGCTCTCCATATGCTGGGTCACGTTAAATCAACAATAAGATGAGATCAGATAACAGAGATAACAGATCAGATCAGAGTTGGAAGGGACCTTGTAGGTCATCTGGTCCAACCACCTCACCCAAGCAGGAGACCCTACACCATTTCTGACAGATGCCTGTCCAGTCTCTTCTTGAAAATTTTCAGTGATAAAGCATCCACAACTTCCAAGGGCAATCTGTTCCATTGGTTGATTGTTCTCACTGTCGGAAAGTTTCTCCTTATTTCTAGGTTAAATCTCTCCTTCAGTTTCCATCCATTATTCCTTGTCTGGCCTACAGGTGCTTTAGATAGCTTGACCCTCCTCCTCTCTGTGGCAGCCCCTCACACATTGGAAGACTACTATCATGTCTCCCCTGGTCCTTCTCTTCACTAGACTAGCCATGCCCAGTTCCTGCAACCGATCAGTGGCCCTGGCCTCAACTTCTTCCAATATTGTATCCATGGAAAGAAGAAAAGAACAAAATTCAGATGTTCACTGAAGGGAAAGTTCTGAAAGTTATATAGAACATTAAACCAAACACCGAACTCCAAATCCTTTACCTATTGTCTGGAGGATGCCTCCTGTGCTGGCACACACCTTCTGGGACACCAGTGGCAGGAGGGATGCCAGGATTTTAAAATCAGTGACATAGAAGGAATAATCTTCTGTGGGTGTGGAAGCCACTCGGTCAAGCTCCTTTCGGTCTGCATTTTTGATACCTGGGTGAAGGAGACAGAAAAGAAGCACTCTGCTTCAGCTCCAAACCTCCTTTAAACAACTGCAATATTCTTGCAGTAGTCAATCTTTTTCACACTGGGAGCCAGTCTCAGAATAAACTGGGTTTTGATCACCAAGGTAAGTTTTGCTAGTATTTAAATTGAGATTGAGAAACTGGCATACTTAGACATTTTGGATTTCACTCCCATCAGCCCCTGGCCAACTTCACCAAAGGAAAGAAATATGGAAGCCTTAAGCCAAATATATGGAGGCCTCCTGAAGCTATAAACCTGATTTAACCCTTATAATTTGGAAATATACTATAATCTGAGTTGCCCGGAAGGGCATATCTTTTGCATGCACTTCAGTACCCAATGTCTTTAGGTAGGGCTGAGAAAAACTCTAGCCTATTGCCCTAAAGAATAGTTGAGACCAGTTAAGCTCTGCCAGTTCTTGTCCTAGTTGTTTTTAATCCAAATATGCTAAATTTCCACCACAGAAACTTAGTAGAAAACAGTAATAGTTGTTCCAAGCTCTCTGGGGAGACATTTTGTCCTCCTTCAAAAAAATGCTTGGGGAATACTGGAAGTCTTTTATGGTTTTGCTAAGAAAAATATGCTTCCACACACATATATTATACACAAACATCTCTAATCTGAGATCCATTTTAGGCCTATGCTTTTCTTAGACAAATGCCAAGAATGCATGTAATTTTCTTGCCCTGCCCTTTGAGATTTCTTCAGTGGGCAATACATTAAAAAAAGATCATGGAAAAATAGGAAAAGAGGCATTATTAAAGATATTAAAATGGCAATGTCTTCATAATCAGGGTGGTGAGATGAGTATCTTGCTTGATGAAGAAATGTGGAGATTTTGAAAGCCTGTACATTTTTGTGGCTTTGAGTTTGATTTAATAAAAGCATTGAGATTTAATAAGAGCATTAGGGATTTCTCCTGCCAAAATAATACTCGTGTTTTCTGTATAACTGAAACTGACATATTCACCTTTATTTTTGACGCACTTCAGTTGCATTGGTGGAAGAGTCAGGGACTTAATTAAAAAAAAAATTAAATTCTAATCTGGAAAAATATCTCTTTTTGTATCAAGAACAATGCACTAATAAACAATTGCTTTCTGTAATAGTTAGTCTGAGTGTTGCATTATAGTTGTATAGCTGAATCCTCAGTTTACAAGTGCAGACTTCCCCAGGCTTACTGGAGGCATAAGCAAAGTCTGATTTAACCCTTGTAATTTCAAAAGATACTATAATCTGATTTAAGAGGGGAGTGATTCCAGGATTAATAAACCTAGAGGGCCCATCCCGTGCTTGCAATGTTCTCAATTTTACCTAGCCCTAATCTGGCAAGTAAGAACTGGTATATGCATTTCATGTACCACCCATCCAATATGTTTTTCTTTCAGCAAACAGTTAACAACAAGGGGGGAGGTGATGAGAAGTAGTGACTGGTGCAGAGGGAGAAAGTCCCATTAAATTGGTCCTTATTTGATATCCATCCTACACTGCAAGATCACTCACCCACTGCAAAGACTTTAATGCCTTGATTCTTCAGTTTTAAGGCTGTCTGCTCAACTTCATCCTGAGACTTTCCATCAGTAATGAGAATACAGATCTAAGGAGGAGAAAATGCAATTCTACATCATACAAATGTCCAAACAAAGACTTAAGCTCAATTCTTTTTGAAGAACAGCTCAGCGTATGCTATAGCCATAGTTAGATGGCTGATGCAAATAGTTAGCCATAGTTAGATGGCTGATGCAAAAATAAAGATCAGGATTGCTAAACACATTTCTGGAAATCTATACCCTTATTTCGGAACACTAGTAAGAGTTATTATTTAATATTGACCCATTAACAATATATAGCATTTAAATGTCCCTTATGGAACATTTTGCTTACATTACATGAAGCTAGAATAGAAAAGGTATTCCTCATACAGCCCTTAAAGTTCAAAAAAGTTGAGGTTTAAGTGCTATATCCATTCAGCATTCAGGGAGAAACAGGTCATACTTCTACTGACAAACATGATTTTCAATATTATAAGAGACTAAAAAATGGCTGTCAGAATTGCCAAAATCTGTAAGATTATGCTCAGGATTCTCTGGCCATTCCCTTCTCTTTCTGCTGAGATAGGAAAAGTTTTCACAGTACCTTTGGAACATTAGGCCGGAGCTCATTGGCTCCAAATAAGTTATCTACTACGTAACGCAGGCCTGCTCCTGTGCGAGTATTCCCACCCTTGAAGGCTATCTCTTGAACAGCCCGTATCACTTCCGTTCCGTTGAGAAAGTCTGAGAATTTGAACTCAGTCCTGGAACCAAAACAAAATTTAAAATAATTAAGCAGAAGCAAGAGCAGAAACCACACTATTAGTTGAAAGCCCATCAGTTGGAAGGAAGTATTTCCCAGAATACTGCTCCATAACCAATTTTTGTCATCAAGCAGTTGTTGTTGTTTTTAAAAAAATCAATCTCAGGGAAACTTTTTGGGAGCTTTTCAATGTTATAAATAGAGCACTTGGCTCCTCTGACAAGCAGTTATGTCATGAATTCGCGAATTCAGTTTTGTTTGTCTTTAGAGTGAACATGAATCTCAAGAATATGTACAAGACACACAAACACACACTGCAGCCCTTTTGTGTCCAGCTGGCAGTATTTAACAAGTTACTCAATGCACATCTTCTAATCAAATAGATTTACTCTGCAAATAGAGAAAAGAAAGGGGATAAATCTTTTTCTTTCTCTTGAGAACTACAGGCTGGCTATTTTGAGAGTCACCCTTTAGGAACGGGAGGCTAAACCATATGAAAAACTGTTGCTGGAATTGGCTATGTCTAGTTTAATGAGAAGAAGGACTACATGTGACATGAAAGCAGTGTTCCGATATCTCAGGGCTTGCCACAAAGAAGAGGGAGTGAACCTATTCTCCAAAGCACCAGAAGACAGGACAAGAAACAATGGATGGAAACTAATCAAGTTAAGGAAGCAACCTAGAACTGAGGAGAAATTTCCTGACAGAACAATTGATTAGTGGAACAGCTTGCCTTTAGAAGTTGTGGGTGGTCCAACACTGGAGGTTTTTAAAAAGAAATTGGACAACCATAGGCTTTCCTGTCTGAGCCAGGGGTTGGATTAGAAGACCTCCAAGGTCCCTTCCAACTGTGGACCAAACTTGTCACTTCACATTACTCTCATGTGATGTCTTGTGAATTTTTTTCCCCTGGGGTGGGCGTGGCCTGCGCATGATGCAACCGGCCTGTGGGCCGCCAGTTTGGCAGCCCTGTTCTAGATGGTTAGAAGTAAATAGAGTTTTAATTGCAAGTGAAAACTGTTAAAAGTCCTTTGGCATTTGACATCTCAGTCTTCCCCAGATCAGTATATTTTAGGTGCACTGAGTTCAACACCCAGAATGCATGATACCTGTAATCTGCAGTTTGGGGGAGAGGCAGGCTATCTAATCCATTGAGCATCATATTCCCTATTGTGGCCACCTAGAACAGAGGTCTCCAACCTTGGCAACTTTAAGACTTGTGGACTTCAACTTCCAGAATTCCTCAGCCAGCAAAGCTGGCTGAGGAATTCTGGGAGTTGAAGTCCACAAGTCTTAAAGTTGCCAAGGTTGGAGACCTCTGACCTAGAAGACTCAAAGAACTCTACACACCATGAACGGCAAACTGATTGACCCCAGCATCCAGTATTTAGTGAAATTACATCTTGGAATGTAGAAGCCCCATTTAATTATCCAAGTCAGTAACACAGCTGTTACTCCAAGACTTTGTCTAAAGTAAGTAACATGAAAAGCAAGTAGATTGGGACTCACCTGGGATCATCACTGTACTGCACGGCTGCATAACGTACCCCGTTCGCACCCACCACATTGATAAAAGGAAGAACCAGTCCTTCCATGAAGGATCGGATCATGCGGAAATTTCCCCTGCCAATGCTAGAGGATCCATCTACCAGGAATACAATGTCAGCCAGGTACACATTGGTGCAGACCACTGCAAGGCAACATCAACTGGTCAGAAGGCTGACTTCATCAGTGGATCCCCTCCATCCACTTTTATTACAAGGCAAAAGAATAGCAGGAGCTGGGCTTGGTCTACACACCGTTAAATACTAGCTCGAGGCTTTAGTCCCACAGAGCCAGACTGAATTACTCCTAGGAAAAAGGTCTACAGTTTCTGCACACTTCATACATCAAGTCTATAATTTGACCATTAAAGTTATTATACAATAAAAGATGTAGAAAAAGCCTTGGGTTAATAACCACTGTAAGAAGACTATAGATGGTCCTTGACTTACAACCATAATTGGGACCAGAATTTTCATCGCTAAGCAAGGCAGTTGTTAAGTTGCCCCTGATGTTACAAACTTCTTTTTTTTTCCCCCAAGGCTAAAAAACTTCAGTTGTTAAGCGAATTGTGTCTTAAGCCACTTTTTCAGTGCTGCTCAACTGTTGCTAAACAAATGTTTGTAAATTGAAAACTATCTGAATTCAGGACCAAGTATTCTGAGCTAAGAGGGGGTTTTCAGAAAGGGAACTACAATCTAAGACAGATCACAATAAACTTTTTATTCCTTTCTTTCAAAAAGTATGCCAGAATCAAAATCAGGGAATGGAATCTTTTATTTCTGAGGTTTTATTTCTTATTGTGAGAGCCAGTTTGGCCTAGTGGTTAGGCACCAGATTAGAAAGCAGGGGACCATGAGTTCAAATCCCATTTTAGCCATGAAAGCCAGCTGGATGACTTCGGGCCAGTCACTCTCTCTCAGCCCAATTCACCTTCCAGGGTGGTTGTTGAGAGGAAAATAGGAGGAGTATTGGATATATTCACTGCCTTGAATTATTTGTTTGTAAAAATAATAAAATTGGGATATAAATGAATAGATAGGTAGGTAGGTAGGTAGGCAGGCAGGTAGGTAGATAGACAAAATGTCTGGAAGACATAATTTATGCACAGATGCTGAGTTAAGTTCTCTCTTATTGCCAGTTACAATGGAGAGGTGTGGGTCTGGCTTTAAAACAATTGTGAAATATTTTTATTACAGCAAATAAATAAATCCTTCAGTGAAGTTGCAGGAGTTCAGTTTTCACAAGGAAGAAAAATAAGTCAAGTTATGGACTTATTTCTCTTGCATCCTAGCAAGGAAAGGAAGTAGATATACAGGACTATATACAGTTTGTCAAGGTACTTTATATCAGGGGTCTCCAACCTTGGCAACTTTAAGACTTGCAGACTTGCAGACTCCCAGAGTGGAAGTCCGCAAGTCTTAAAGTTGCCAAGGTTGGAGACCCCTGCTTTATATCATTATTCACTTTGGAAGTAGTGAGTCATGACAAAGCCTTGGCAAATAAAATCATTTTAAAATCATCAATAATATCAATAACACCATTCTTAATTCAGAGTCCCTCCTCTAGGAATGCATAACTTTTTTCTGTTGAGAGCCGCACCTCTTCAGATAAGATCTCTTCAGAAGACATTTCCTACAGTTAAAACTAGGTGTGAATGGGGACTCTTTCTCAAACACCCTCTGTCTGTTCTCTCTTCTAAGAAGCAGGTTGCAGGGAAGGGAGGGAAAACTTTTATCAGGGCTTCTGAAATTAGGTCCGGGGGCAGAGGTTTCCTTTCCTTAAATTATTCCCTACACCGCAGTCAAAGCAATTATTAGCATTAAATGACTAGAAAATTGGTAACATTGAGGAGAAAAAAACAGCAGTCCTTTCCTTCTATTGCATAGCTGTTATTAAACTATAATTAAGAATTGCGTACCGGGTATGTTCTGTAATTGTTTTGGTTTTTTTAAACTGCACTCTATGAAAGTACTTTCAAATACACAACGTTGTGAAAGGTAAACCTGGCCATGTTCAACTTCACACATGAACTCTCCTCCCTCTGTCGTTTCTGGAGACTTCCAAATGAACTCCAGCATCTAATCCTTGCTCTCCTGTTACACCAGGTGTGCTAGAAGTAAAATCATACCATATGGTGCTCTGTGCGGCCCTCCAAGATTTCAAGTGGTGTTTTTACAAACCCTTCTCTCCAGGGTCCTTCTCGAACAGAGGAACAGCTTTACCTCTTAGCTTTCCGGAGTTTCCTGCTGTCCCTTCTCTAGCCAATATGGTGGCTGAACTGAGAGCAAAAGACAGAAGTTGGGGACCTAATCTATCGGGCTGCCATGCAGAGTTAAATTAACCAGGACTCACCTCTCTCCCTTTTTTGAGCCATGACTTGTATGGAAGCAAAGAATACAGCATGGAGTGCTGCGAGGAGCAGCATTTTGCTTCTCATGGTGGGAGTCTGAAACAAAAGATAAGAGATGGAAACATGCTCAATTCTTCACACTGGGAGGCAACAGCTGAACAAGTTTATCATGAGCAGCATTGTCCTAGTCTCCAACCCAGGACCACAGATAAGTGGTAAAAAGGATGTTCAAAGTCCTTGCTTATTTATATGCTACTTTTATATCTCATTGTTTCTCTGGAAATAGAATTCCTATAATTTTATGTCATCTGTTTAACCATGGCCAGAGAGGAGATGGTGATTGCAAAGACCCGAGTGCAGTGTGTTTATTAATAGGAAAAAAATTGGGCAGTAAAGAATGGAATATTTAAGAGTCATGCCCTCAGCTATCAGTCTTCTCCAAACCAGTAGCCTTCAGAAATTTAGGACTGCCATCCCCATCAGCTGGAGCCTGCATGCCCAGAAATGTTAAGGAATGATAAAAATTATAATACAAAATCATCTGGGTGACATAAAGTTGAGGAACTGCTCTTTAGTAACATGCTGACAGAAGAAAGCAGGTGGCTACAAAGCCAAAACCATGAAGGAAGGATGAAGACATATATGCTTATGAAATCTAACGCTTTAGTTAAAATGCTTACTTTCTCTGGGAAATTCTCAAATGAGAATTTGGTTTCCACCTGCACATCAGGAAGGAACAGTCAGGTTATTATTGGTCCAAATGCATTTATAAATTGGTTCCATTGTTTCTGACTTTAAAATGTTTACGCCACACACATACTGATATTTAAATAAATATATTTTATTAGAAATATACAGGTCTCAATATATTTAATTCAAAATTACCCCTTTAAATGCACAGTTAATTGAGAACTACATTGCAAAATCCAGACAAGACTGAAATCCAAACAATGATAAAAAAAACTCTGTTATTCTATTCTATTCTATTCTATTCTATTCTATTCTATTCTATTCTATTC